CACGACGCTCTTCCGATCTCCCCAAAACCCCAAAACCCCACAATGCAATGAGTAGTAAAATAAGAATAGTATTTATCGATTATGTGAATTAACGTATTTGATCATATCTTATAAATTGGTTAAGGCGTGTCAATTCAAAGCTTTGGGGCAACTGGTTGCATTTGAATACCGCAGATACCAGCACCTTCAACGGCAGCGATTCTGATATATCCACTTTCTCCCCATGATGGACCCCATGAGTTTCTGACGATGTAGTATTCTTAATTATTTTCTTTTCCATATCCAACGGCGACAACACCGTGATCAAGGTTGGTACCACAACCTGAGCTGTTAAGAACACCACCAGAGTAGAATTGGAAGGTGAAAGTGTCGGCTTCAATGGCAACTGAGACTGGTCCCTAAGCAATAGCAGCCTTGAGGGCAGCTACACTGTTTGGAGTGATGTCATTGTGACCGAGATCAGTGACTATCTCCTTTTTAGGGTCAGCTTAGCAAGTTTAGTCGACAGCGGCATATGGGTAGTTAGCCTCAGTCTCGAGTGGGTTCTTAGCAATATAGTCCATAGCTGAACCCATGTCACCACCTTCGCAACCAGCGCTACCGTCTCTAGCGCAATCAACAAGTTGTTGTTCTGAGAGAGAGAAGAGTTTGCCAGTCTTGATGAAGTTTCTACCTTCGAGAGCACCAACAGTTGAGAAGGCCCAGCAAGATCCGCACTGACCTTGATCCTTAACTGCGTTGACAGCGCCCTTAGTTCTCCAATCGATGGAATCTGGGATATCGCTGGCATTGACTTAAGCTGAGAGGGTCTTTTGTGTCTTTGCTACTGGTCTAAAACCGAGGAGCTTCTTGTACTCTTGTGGGGTATAGTCAGCGAACTTGTTTGGCTTTAAGTGGAATGAGCCACCAGCATTGTTTGAGTTGTGAGAGTTAATCAAGGACATGCTTGTTCTGTATTACTTAAGTCTAAGTTCATATTCCTCTTTGGTGGCGTAACTCTTGCCGTGTCTGGCCATGAAGTTAGCGAAGTCAGCATTATCTTCATTGAGGAAGAGTTGAGATGACTCTGGAGTGAAGTTAAGTGCAATAACAGCAACTGTAGCAACAACTCCGACAACTGCGAGTGTGATAGCGAATCCTTTCTTCATTTGGAAAT